AGTGAAACCATGTATATGTGATGAAGGGACTTTATCAGAATATAACTTGAACAATCTACAGTAGCTCATTGGAAACCTGGGAGATGAAAACTTATTTAGAGAAGCTTTCAGTAGAAGAAATGAGCATGGCAAACAGGATTACAATCTCAGACCTACTAAATTCAGTAAAACAGGTTGTCAGTGACATCAGTAGGAGAGACTCTGTTTTCTGATTAGGGTGGACACCAGGATGAAATTCATCCCTGTGTGAAAAGCCAGAACAACTCTTACGGCCACTACATTATTCTAAACCTAAACCCCTTCATTCAGAAATAAAACAGGTTTTGTGCTGGCTCTCTCCCAATGGATGAATTCCAAAGAGACATCAGGAGTTTTGTTCCCAAAAATATAGGGAAACAAAATGCGTACGCATTAGTCTTTCTGAACTATAATGCATGTGTGGGACAGTAGCACAATTGTGGTTTGTGGCTTTTTTTTTTTTCTCCAAAAGAAATGCTTTCTTCCATATTAGAATGATGTATATTATACCAAAATAAAAACAGTCAAGTTAAGGGCAAGATCAGAATCAAGATGGAATTGTTGGAAACTTTTTTTAATTGATTCACTTGTCTTTCATTTAAGCCCTTACTTGCAAAGAAAGAGAAAAAGTCGTTCCTCAGTAACTTCACTGAATAAAGCAGTTATGCCAGTAAGCTCTGCATCTATTTTTAGAAGCATTCACACATGCAGTATTCAGCAGAAAATTCACTGTAGAGCATGACTGCAGTTGAGTATCACAGCTGAGTAATCTACATCAGGCTGGGCAGAGTCCCAAAGAATTCAGCTGTTCAGTGTTGCTAATGAACAGGATTTTTTAGCTATCAGCTGTAGGAGAAGCTAAGAGCAGTTTGTACATTGACGAGCTAATTGTTAATTACAGAAATGACTAACTGTGAGGACATTATTATTGTCGTTATGCCCTATAATCAATGACTGACATTATGCAGCAGATTCTCTGTTGGGGTAAATGCACCAAATTCCAGTTGTGTTTTGAGTACTTATATTAGCAGAAAAAATTTCCATTCCTTTTAAAATTTTGGGAGCAATAAAGCTTGGCTGTGGCTGGCTGTATGATACCATCTTCCCACTAGAAAAAACATCAATAAAAATTAGCTTTTTAGATCCTGATTAATTCACATGTATAGTTTTATCTGCATAAGACACTCTCACTGAAGCCACTGTGGACCCCTTGTGTGCTTAGGTATGTAGGTAACCCACAGCTTTTCTGTCACATGGCCTTGAAATAGATGATTAAGCCACTACTTTTCAGTTAGCTTTCATATTTAGGATTTGGAGAGTGAGTAGTCTCTTTGTCAAGCCCCTCCTATGCATGGAAGGCCAGCTGTTTGCCTCAGCCATCTGACCGCATACCTGGGCGATCAATGCTATTTGAAGGGAAAATGGGAAGAAGACTAAGATCTAAGATGACTGTCAGTTCAGAGGCAAAAATTAGCACCAAAAATGGAGTGGGCCTCCCCAGCATCCCCCTGCCACAACAGTGCCTGAGGTCAAAGGCACCTAAAGATTTGCTGGCACCCTGGGAAGTGAACCTGGTGGTCACAAGTTTGCTGAAAGACTATTTCTCTCTAGATTCCTATAGCAAAAATTAAGTATATGTGCAGACGAAGTCCCTGAATCTTAGATAAATCTACTAACACTGATCAGATTCCTTTACTGCGTCAGCATTACCCTGATCTTATGTCTTGAGAACAGAGAAAAACTGTTTATCTGAGTTGCTTTGAGCTGCTGCTGCCATCAGTGTTGCAACTGAGATTGAATCCTCAGGTCCATGCTCCTCGTTCAGAGCACTGATGCTGTCAAAAAGAATTTGTGGAACAGGTGTACTCATGGTTGTGTAGGAGTGATTTACTACAGTCCACCCACTTCTACCCTCGGGAACTTGCAAAATACACACTGTAGTCTATCTGAGCTCCCTGTTGTGATACTGTTCTCAGGAGAATTTTTCTTCAGAAGATAGTTATAGTGTTAGCACAGGAAAAGTAAATTCAGAATTCTGAGCATGATTAGGTCTGACTGTGTAAACACACATCCCTCTCAATTGTTTATACTGTAAGCATGGGAGAAAAAAAGTAATGATGGTTTTGTGATGCACCTGTTGTATTTCCATTTTTATTTCTTATTAAAATATCTATACATAGAATCATGGAATCATATTATGGTTTGGGTTGGAAGGGACCTAAAAGACCATCTAGTTCCAAGCCCCTTACCATGAGCAAGGACACCTTCCACTAGACCAGGTTTTGCAAAGACGCTTCAGCCTGGCCTTGAAGACAGCCATGGATGGAACATCCATTGCTTCTCTGTGCAACCTGTTTCAGGGCCACACCACCTTCTCCATGAAGAATTTCTTCCTGATATCTAATCTAAATTGGATACCCTTTTTCAGTTTAAAGCCATTATCCCATGTTCTGCCACTACAGGACTTTGTCGACAGTTACCCTCCAGCTGTAGGCCCCTTCAGGTACTGGGAGGTGCTATAAGGTCTCCCCGGAGCCTTCTCTTCTCCAGGCTGAACAAGCCCAACTCTCTCAGCCTGTCCCCATAGCAGAGGTGCTCCTGCCCTCTGAGCATCTTCGTGGCCTCCTCTGGACTCACTCCAACCAGTGAGTACCAACCATATGATATCCTTCATATGTTGTGGACCCCACAGCTGGATGCAGCAGTCCAGGTAGGCTCTCATGAGAGAGCAGTAGCAGGGGACAATCACCTCCTTCAACCTACTGGCCACGCTTCTTTTTATGTCTATAAATATACACATACACACACACACATATGCAAAGCCTATCAGACATGACAAAAGGTTTCAGTGCAGTTTTGTTTCTAACAACAAGGCTTGCAGAGAAAAAGCATTTCTAATCATATCAGTGTGATGGCTCCAATACATTTATGAAGGTACATATTGAAAAAAAAGTGTAAACCTATTGGTATTATTTATGCTTTTGGTATAATATATATCATCCTATGCAAGCTCTTCTATGAATAAGGATTTTTCAGACTGTTTTCTGTTGTCTAAATCACCAACTACTGAAGTTTATGAAAGCACGTTTATTTTCAGATATTTCAAAGCAATTTACTGATTTGACTGATTTATGATTTCTCTGTCTTGGCAGAAGATAACCTTCTGCTTTCCATAGGTTTCATAGTATATCTTATTTCAAAGAAAAATTAAAAGCAGTTGCAAAACTATTTGTAGCAATTTTATTCTGTCAGCAGTTTCTGATGACAGCTCCTGCCTTCTTTTCTGCAGAAAGAAAATCAAGTGCTTTTCTGCGTTCGTAACTAAAACTGTCCCATATAAATTTAGAAGATACTCTCAGTTTGCAGGACCAAGAAACAAGGGGAAGTTGGCTTAGAGTTAGTGTATCCTCACATAATGTGACATTTCATAAGCTCAGAACAGAGAGTACTTATTTGATCTTCAACTGTATGAATCAACATCATCATGTAGTGGCTTGTGAAAAAATAGATACAGGTTTTAGTAAGTATCTTTAATAAATGTGCTATTGTTGGGACCTCTTTCAGGTCTAATTAGTATACATTCCTCTTTTGACTTGCCTGTGCTGAACAGCAATATGAAAAAGAAAGCAAGAAAAATCACATCTGTAGTGCAAGTGTAAAGCATCATCCCACAGTATTCCAAAACCGTGTCAGTTTGGATGTCAGAAATCCTCTGTCAGGGCAGCAGCACACCTTGTCACCACCTGCTGAAGGAAGGGTGGGAAATGCTGAAGCTTGGATGAGCTCTTTCACGAAGTCTGCATATTGAGCAAGGTGATTTCTGCAGCTCTAATCAGAGTGAGAATGTTTATTTTCATTTCAAGGATGATAAGTTCTTTAGACCATGTAGTTTGGTGGCTTCTGAATTGAACCTGGGTCAATTCATAAATTTTCCAAGTCAAAAGCACAGTGCTGCCATTTTAAAGTACTGCTGGTACCATGAAGCAAATCCTAAATGTGAGGGTTTTGTAAAAAAAAAAAATTTGTTAACATATTCTTTCAAATAATGTAATTAATATAAATATTATTAGATATTTTTATTTTAGAGGAAGCGTAGATGTATTTTAAGATGTTGTTCACAAACAAGTCAAATGTGGTAGTTTCAAGTAAATATGCTTTAACAGCAGGGAAAGCTGGGGGAGATGAAGCTTTTATTTGCTGACTTTGGAAATTCAGGATAAGGAGAACAAGCATTAGCATCTTTCCATTCCCTCCAGAGAGTTTAGACCCTACAAGCTCTTTTCACACTCCCCTTTAATAGCCAGTTCTTGACACAGCACTAATGTTTGTTCTAAATGAACCCCTAAATAATTGCTGTCTTTCCCAGTTGTGAGTAGGAGACCACTGAGCAGAAGAATGCAATTAGAAAAATTTTAATGAGATGAAGAGAGGGAGGAGTGAAGGAAGGAACATACAGAGAAAAGCATACGGTAGATAGAAAAATAATACAAACAGTAAATAAGAAGTGCTGATTTAATTTCTTCTGTGCAAATCTGGTTTCACTGGAATTAGGAACTATTCATGAGTACATTAGAAATAATTGATTTACATATTGGAAGCAGTTTATTTAAATTAGTAGTTTTATAGAATCTTTGTTGAAATTGTATATATCTAACTGCAATGCTTTTTGACTTTCTAAGTACATCTGAGTTAATCCATGGCATTTGAAAGAGAATTATATTTAATATTGGAGATTGTAGTTAATATTTTTTTTTTATCACTGAATTAATTTGCATCTGGAAAATGTACCAGTTGTGTTTGGTTTGTTCAAAACAGCATTTAGACTGTTTTATTTTCAAATGACAGATCTTATGTTCAAAGGAGAACATAAAGATTTGCTGTAACGCTGGTACTGTAGTAAGTCTAAAAGCATAAAGAAAGCTAAAGTGGGCTTCCAGTTTTCGTAAGTAGCTTAGTAACCTTTTTACATGGCATTTCTGTAGGACTACAGAGTGAACATTTTTTTGAGACAGCAGTGGAATGACTCACGTCTGGCTTACAGCGAATATCCCGATGATTCCCTGGATTTGGATCCCTCTATGCTGGACTCTATTTGGAAGCCGGATTTATTCTTTGCCAATGAGAAGGGAGCAAACTTCCATGATGTCACAACAGACAACAAGTTGCTGAGGATTTCTAAAACTGGAAAAGTGTTGTACAGTATCAGGTAAACCAATAATTTTTTTTTTTTCCTCTTCATCCCCTTCTTTATCCCATTCCTTGTTTTTCTGGATGTAAGTAGGCTTACAGTACATATTTAATTTCTTGTTGTCCCATGTGTACAACTGAAATTAGACTATTATAGAAGGGTAAAAGGAAATTTTGCCTATGTTCGTTTGTTAAGATTTTACTTTTCTCAAAATAGTCTGTAAGTGGCACAGCAGTACTTCTCAGTCTTGTTGGAAAGTTAAGGCTCTCTAACACTTTAAAGGTATGTTTCAGTAATTCCCATTAACATTAGCTCAAGTCACTCCACTTACAAAGAGAGGAAATCAACTCTTCGTAGTTTGTGGGTTGCAATAAAAGTAAAGGGAAGTAGTATTTTAAAAGACTGCTCAATATCTCATGTAAAAAGATGCTTGAAATGCAATAAATTTGAGATGCAGGTCAGTGGGTAGTTGGATGTAACTATTCACATTTAAAAATAACTGGAATATCAGAAAGAGTTTTTTAATACTTAGTGCACTTTAGTGGGTGTCGTGACTGGATTTAGGCTGAATTAATAAACACTGAGAAAACATGACTTGATATGACCTGATTGAATGGAACATATGCAGCAAATCAGAATTGCATTGCACAGGCATAAACAGCAGCAAATAATCTGCAGTATTTATTTGGTGTTCAGATTACTGTGCATCGTTAATTGCTTAATATAGGTAGTCGAAGGTGCAAAACACTGTATTATTGCTCTTACAGTTGTTTTAAAAAAAGTAATTACTGTGTTTTGTTTGTGTTTGGGAATGCTTCTCAGCTGTTACCTTTCTTGCATTGAGGAAAGTAAACATGATAGTATTTGTTTAACAGGTTGTTCAGTGAATTTACCCATCTGTAAGAAAGATTACTCTAGAAGGCAGTTGTTTCTGACTGGGCATTCTCTCTGTGAGCTGCATTTTCATTAAGGAATTGTTATTGATCCAGGTTCAGGACAGCTGTGCTCTTTAGGATGCTAAATAAATAAGTAATAATATGGCACTTTCTCAATTTACTTAACTCTCATTGAAATTCCTTCAAAAGACCTCAGTAATATTTGGATTGAGCACTGTGTAATGTAAATGTTTATTGAGCAAGGTTTCAAATTGGCATACCTGAACATTTTGGAAAAATAATAGGATATGAAGATGAAACTAGCACTAGCAGAGTGGTAAAAATGCTGTCACTTACTAATATTTCTTCTTTCACCCTGGGAAAGAAATGAATGCGTCTGTTTGTTTGAATGACATCAGACATCGTCTTATTGGAGGCAACAGTGCAGTTGGGTGCTGTTCTGAATGCAGATGGATAATTTTCCTGACATTTGTCCATGCGGGAAAAGTAATATTTTGAGCTGTCATATCACATTTGTAAAATTCTCACACCTAAATGCAAATTAATCTGAAGCAGAGTAAGCAGTATTCCAATGAGTACTAAGCAATGTTCATTGTTTCTCATTTGTATCGCACAGCAGTAATAGAGGCTTAGCTGACACCTCTGCCATTGCATATGATTTTGAATAGTACTTTTCAGTGAAGAAAACTTTCCAGAGTATGGAAATTTAAAGTCAGAAGTAGTTAGAGAAACTTGTCTTTATTCCCTAGATACTGGGCTACCAGCACCTGTGCATAGCCAGTTGCTTTTAGATGTGCTATGCAGAAACAAACAAGAATATTTTCGTGACTGGTTTCAGTACACTGAGAAAGTTACAATGCTGCCATTTTCACTACTTCACCAATATCACTTAGCTTGGCATCGTGACTTTTAACATTTAGCATTTAGGGTGTTATAAATGTTTAAAGCACTTTACAAAGATGTCTGAGAAGTAGTGCTGTAGGCTGTTTTGTAATATATCCAAATTTACTAAAATCAAGCACAAGTTAAACTCAGGCAAATATAATCTGCTTTCTGCTTAAAATGAGTTTAGAACTGCTCCCGGTAATTAATGGGTAAGAAGCAAGGTGTATTATATGACAGTGGTATTCCTGTTCCCTGTACATTGCACTGAAAACAAGGAAATACGCTATGCAGGAGGCACAACAGGCTTCTGATGTGAAATGCTCTCAGAGGCCAATCCTACTCTTTCTGAAAAGAATTTGGAAAGTGAACTGGAACTAGATCTCACGGTCCATATTTTACTACCACAGGACACTTGGTGTGGGATATGGGTGCTTGGATAAGTCATGGCAGGGTCAGTGAGGGTGTGGCCCATGTGTTAGCCCCACCACGGTGCTTAGCTCTAGTAATTATGTCACTTTGCAGTAAACTTGAGGCTCTTTGTCCTTTTCTCAGTAAGGGATAAGCCATCCTGCATCACCTACCATGGTGATGGTAAGCATGGCTAGATTTCCCTTACAGTTTATCTTACAATAATTAGTTAACATGCTCATGCTTGCAGACTCCTAGATCTATATTTAATTCTCTGGGAGTTGTTATAGAAAATAAAGGAAGAGTTGTTGATGACTGATGTACCCACCTATGAATCATATAAGTTTAGCAGTCTAAACCTATTTTTAGACACCTGCTGTGTGCTCAAATGACTATCCTGGTATTTGTTTTAACCTCAGATGGCATGCTATATATTCTATATAGCACCTGAGGTTCTATACCTGGATAACTGGTCTAAAACTTTGGGTACTGCAGACATAACTACAACTTTGGGAAGGGAACCCAGCACTACCCAGTACCACAAATATATGCTATTGCCACTGGAGATGTAACAACAGATCTTAGATGTGCATGTATTTTGAGAAGTCAGCAGTTGCAGCATAGTCATATTCAGCAATCCGCTACACTTCAGCCAAGATCATTCTCAATTGCAGTCTTTGAGCTGCAAAACAGCCAAACATCTATAACTTTTATTTTAAAACCCTCTGCAGACAGAGGGTTGACAAGAGGGTTTGTTATAGCAGTGTTTGGTAAAATTAGCTTAAGCTATGTGTATTTTGTATGCTGATAGAACAATGAGAGTTAAAATCAGAACTCGCATATCATCACCCCCCAAATGCCTGTGACTCATCTGCTCTCAACCCTTGAATGGTCTCTGCAAGGATTGGATTTTCTAGGTGGCTATGCACTTGGAAATAATGGCAGTGCTGTGTGATGATACCAAGAATGCTGCTCCTGGCAGTCATCTTCTGTATGGCATATGGATTTTGCATTGTGTACACTGCTGCACTGATTTTACGTTCCAGGGGCAAGGATCATAACTGCTGTGGCTCATTGTGGACACCTGGGACATCAGGAAAATGTGAAATAACCTCACAGGATCCTTCACATTCTCTCTCAGCCACCCATTTGTGATACCTGATTCCCACAAACACATTTCAGGCTGCCAGCCAGCTCAGAATATTAGCATCTGCCAGAGAGCTTATTTTAGCAAAGTAATCGAAAGTAGAATAGTTTCATTTAAGGGTTGTGGGTTGGTGGGTTTTTTTTTTTTTCTCTGCATTAATTGCCTCCCTCTGCCTTTAATATTTTCAGTACATCTCAGCCATATGAGCTTGATGCAGGAGGTGATATAACTCAACTGGAATATTGATCCATGGCATTGAACCTAGAATATATTGGTCAGGAATGTAAAGGGGCTGTAACACTTCTTTGTTTTTACCCTCTGCTCCAGAAAACACTCCCAATTGCCTGATAAGGTTGTAGAGCTGTGCTCTGAAACGTATTGCCAGTGCATTTAGCCAGAAAGAGTTAGAAAGCAGATTATTTTATATTTTTAAAATATGCAAAGGTGTTGCATAATTTGACAGGACAGTCACTTGGAATTCTGGGTAGGAGATTTGTGCAAATTCACAAATAGTATTTCTCCCTGCATTTTTGCTGTTCTTGTTCAAAGAGCAATGAAATACCTATGAAGAATTTCCTCGAGTCTTTCAAAATATCTGGTTTTCTGTCTTTGTTTATCTGCACAGTGCAAGAAATACTGCAGCTGTGTAGACAATTAGTCGTTCAGAGTTTCAACTCTTGATTTAAATTTAATTGTTAAATGTTACTATGGACAAAGACAGTGTGGCTACTAGAGATCAGTACTGTGATGTTAGGGCACCACGATACAGAGAATATTCAAGCTATTAGACTGGTCTCTGTGCAGCTGTTCTGGGCGTGATTATTAGCCCCTCTGTTCAGCAACAAGTAGCTGACGGAATGAGTTGGCAGATCCAAAAACCTTTGCCTTCTTATGCAATCAAAGACAAGTATCTGTGAAAACAGCACATTTATTTGCAATGCTACCTCCCATGCCAGCTGCCTTACTCAGGAGTTTCCAAAATCAGCTCTTCCTAGTATGGCCATAGTGCCGAGTCATAGAGCACTGAGTCCACCTTGCACCCCCACCATCCCACACACAATTTTGGGTTATATAATGAGTTGTGATTACCATACCCCTCACATAAATCATCATAAGCGGTCTAAATTCAGCTTTTCTAAGTGAAACTTCTGTGTTTTGTAGTATCCTCTGTACTTGTGTTCTTTGGCCTGTGGGGAAAAAATACAAAGCATATTAAGGAAACATACAGGTAACACTGCTGGTCCCTCTGCAACAGACTATTCATAGGGAAAAAAGTCCACTATCTTTCTGAAATATATTGGTCTTAAGTAAGATCAGATCTTAGATTTTTAGCATGGGTACTACAAAATATGTTGCCATCTTACAGTAAAGTCAGGCATGGGTTTTCTAAAATAATTTGGGGGTACAGAATTTAGCTATATGATAATGAAGTTCCATTTACAACTGATGACATCATTGTGTGTAGGTCATTCATGGCACAGCACAGTCTAACCTACCAGAGTGGTAGGAAATGCTATGTTCTAAAGCTTTGGATGCATCCTGCACTTTAATGTTATGACTTCAATTTTATTTTACAATCTAATGTTAGGATTTAAGAGGATTTAGACTTTACTAGCAGCATTGTCTTTCCATGTGACAGATTAGCAGAGGGGGGAGCAGAGAGACTGTTATCATGATTGACA